AAGAATCTTTAGCAAGAAGAGAATGTGAATTAAGGCTAACTTCAAGTTTTACTTGGATGCTGTCCAGCAACAGTTTTTATATTATGATTTTTTTCTAATAGTCTCATTTCTGATTATTGTATAATCTCCTAATGTTAATTTCACTGGACTAGTCTGGTTCTCTTGTGGATATGTCAATGCATCGAATGAGAAAAATGCTTCATTGTGATTAGAAATCAGTTCTTCTCAACTCAAAATCAGATAATCCTATTAGTCAAAATATTAATACATGATTAATCACTATTTTGGTGCTTATTCCAATTTTATCTAGGCCTCTATTCAATCGAGAGTCCTGTTCATACTTACACCATTATTTCAACCTTAATTATGTATCCTATTAAATCCTCAGTATGCTTCATTACTCATTATACTTTGCTGGCTGTAAATGTCACTTTTGTGACCAAAATAAATAAAACTTCATATATGTCTGAAAAAATGTTTGTTGAACTGTCAGTCATAGTAATTTACAATAATAGCTAAACACACCTCTTTACTTGTATCTGACCACAATGTTTATCAAACTGTCAACCTGGATAATTTACAATGATAGCTAAACATACCTTTTTACTTGTATCTGACCATGGTGTTTATCAAACTGTCAACCTGGGTAATTTACAATGATAGTTAAACATACCTTTTTACTTGTATCTGACCACAATGTTTATCAAACTGTCAACCTGGGTAATTTACAACGATAGTTAAACATACCTTTTTACTTGTATCTGACCACGGTGTTTATCAAACTGTCAACCTGGGTAATTTACAATGATAGCTAAACATACCTTTTTACTTGTATCTGACCATGGTGTTTATCAAACTGTCAACCTGGGTAATTTACAATGATAGCTAAACATACCTTTTTACTTGTATCTGACCACGGTGTTTATCAAATTGTCATTCTGAATCATTTAAGATAATATGATATTCACTGTCCTCACATGTTATTTGGATAAGTAAAACATTTATTTGTATCTCTAACATCTTTTTTTCTGTAGTTCTATAATTATACTTTTATCATCGAAATTTTTCATTCGTTTACTTTCATGTGATCACTGTAGAAATAGTGACATTGAAAAAGTTCTTAAACAGTTCAATCACTTCAGTTTGCTTGAGCCTGTGACATTATGATTAATACCAACTTCTGATCGGTGCAAGCTAACAGTATATATCAGATGATTAGTATCAACTTTGATCAGTGCAAACTAACAATATATATATATAAGATGATTAGTACCAACTTCTTATCAGTGCAAGCTATCGACATATATCAGATGAATAGTACCAACTTCTTATCAGTGCAAGCTAACAGTATATATCAGATGATTAGTACCGGCTTCTGATCAGTGCAAACTATCAACATACATCAGATGATTAGTACCAACTTCTTATCAGTGCAAGCTAACAATATATATCAGATGATTAGTACCAACTTCTTATTAGTGCAAACTATCAACATACATCAGATGAATAGTACCAACTTCTTATTAGTGCAAGCTAACAATATATATCAGATGATTAGAACCAACTTCTGATCAGTGCAAGCTAACAATATATATCAGATGATGAGCACCAACTTCTGATAAGTGCAAGCTAGCAACATATATCAGATGATCACTACTGACATCTGATCAGTGCAAGTTATCAACATATATCAGAACCACAAATTATCTGTCATTAATTTAGCTAATTCATCATAATGTTCATACTTTCTTAATTATAATTGTTTCATCAGTTCGATAATCTCAGTGTCAGCGATATTTTCAGCCACTTATACAAAATATTAGTGTTTTATTTATTTTAAAAAGAAAAAGTATATTTTATAAACATTTACACAGAACTCACTTGTATGATAATACCTAATGGTTGACATTTTTTTCTCTGCTCAGGAAACTGTTGAACATTGGGGCACAGTCTTTTATCTCTCAGGTGGAATTTGTGTGGTTGGAGCTTTCATATTCCTCCTCTTCGGATCTTCAGATCTCCAGCCTTGGGCTGTTCCATTAGATATTGCTGATGATACTCAACCTATTGTTTCTGAAGAAAATAATGAAAATTTGCCCAAAGTATAGATGAAATTGCCTTTAATAATGTGATGTAAAAATGTAAAGCATCATGAAAGGTTTTCAAAATGTATTTTAGAATTTGCATTTTAACAAAAAATGTATTTTAATAGTTTCAACTTTATATTATTCCTGTTGTTGTCCATTTTCTTTGTGTGTTAAACAAATGGAAAATAATTTCAACTTAAAATTATAATTATCAAGTTATTAACAAAAGTTATTAACTATTTCTCAATTTATGATTTTTTTTTTTTTTAAGTTTTGTAACATGTTTAATGTGGAACATATCAAAGTTATCCTAACTTTCAGCATACTTGTGTGACCTGATAATTGTTGGTTAATGCATGTAGGGAAAAACATTGCATTTTGTATGATCTCACCTTCTCGCATGTACTTTTATGCAACTTAAAATAGCCAGTTCATTTATGATCCTGTGAAGTTTTGGTACTTGTATTATAGAAGCTTATGAATAGTTAGTTTATGTTCAGATATTACTAGAAATATTAGCAAGTCTGTTAGGAAGTCATACTTCATAATAGATTGTTGATTACTGTTTTCCACTGTTTGTTTCAGTTGTTTTGGATATGAGATTTAAAGAGGATCTGAGGTGTAGCATGGATGGATGTGAATTTACTAAAAAAACTCAAACATCTTTATTGAAGGCACCAGATTTTATATAAAAGTTATATATGTTTGAGTGGGTCACAGACCAACCATCATCAGGAAGTAGACAGCAGTAAAAATTAATAGCCTAATGTATTTTCCCTTTTGCATAACGTGAAATATTTGGTCAGTCAATTAGCATAAATCATGTTGCCACCTATTTATCTCTCTTTTAAAGTAGATTTCCAGAAATAAATTTATGCAACCACTGAACGTAAATCTCTATTTAAAATTAACTTCAAATTATTGAATATTTTTAATGATTGTATTATATTTTATTTGTATTTATTATATAAATATTTAATGGATTTCACATTGTTCCGATTATAGTCGTTATCAAAGTACATGTTTCATAATTTTTGTAGATTTCTAATTCCACTCATCTGGATCTTCACTCTCCTTGTCATTAATCAATTTTTTTTACTGTTTGCTCTGGTTTTTACAGGGCTGCTTATGACACAGTGCATTTCAGTTTGATTTTAAGACACTTTCAGGTCAGTAGCTTGCATGTACAGGAAAGAAACTGCAGAACAGCTTCAGGTACAAGTGGAATGTACAAGAGGTACATTCTGGAAGAATGTTCAGGTACAAGAGGAAAAGGTTAGCAAATTATAATAAAACCTTAGATTTTTTAGGTTTCACCAGAGGTATTGCTATGTACTTAAAAGATTTGGGGCTTGGGCACGAACTTGTGGAAATTTTTGGCTCTTCAGTATGATATCAGTCATGGTTTTGGCTCTTCAGTATGATATCAGTCATGGTTTTCTATTTTGATTTTTAAAGAGCACCAAATGGATTTGGGGCACTGTCAATTAGAATCAGGGCACGAGCTCCATGTGCTAGAGCCTTGCGACACCTCTGGGTTTGATCTTGACCTTACCAAATGACCTTCTTCTTCTGTACCATAATCATATCACCAGTCAATTGCCCATATCAAAAAACATGGGAATGCATACCTTGCTTGTTTCTGTATATGTTTTTGCCTTGAAGAAGCCCATTTAATATGTTTTGTAAAAAGTGTGAATTTTTTGATTAGGGCAATACTCTAGCTTTTAGCATATACCCTTTTGAGATATCCATCATGTGGCATCATAATGTACAGATTATAGGCTTTCCAAAAACGTGTGATTGCTTTTGTGTGCCCAAGTGATAATGATGGCCTAAATGTTGGACCCTAGCTCACGGACTGTTAATACTGAGAGAGATAATGCTGTTCAATTGAAGTTGATAAATTACTTTTCCATTTTTCTATAGACTACTTATGTTTGTTATTTCTAAAGTTTAAGTTTCTAATGTTTGGCCTTTGTATGTTAGATGACAATTACAAGAGGTTTTGTAGATATCCAATTTATCTATTAATCATGAACCACGCCAGCTAGGTATTTCACAAAAGTTGTAATATAACATATGGGCTAAAAACATCTTAAAAAGCAGACTTGTTGTTGAAACAGCACTCAAGACCTATCTCAATGACTAAAGCTGCTAAAATATTGATAATAACAAAAAAGTTGATTTTCTGATTGTTAGATAAAATTTAAAATTCATCCATTTGTTTTTTGTTTTATTATTATTGTTGTTTCACAAGTGTACAGGAAAAACTTCTATGAATATTTTATTCAAACCTGAGCAAACCTACTTAAAAAAACGCCTGCACAGGTCATGGGACTATTTTTATGTAGATTCTTGAAAGTCGAGATTTCCAGCTTCTAAAATTTTTCTAACTTCTTAGATTCCAGCATAAGCTCCTCATAGCTATTCAAGCATCACAGAAATGTAGAAGCCATTTGAGCACTGCTATAGTAGGCGGACATGCTTCGTTTTATAAGAGTAAACAATGCGTATATTTATAACAATGTTACCAGCCTTATTATTATTGATTATAGTTTTACATGACGCTACAGAAATAACTGATACGAATATTTTACTGAAACCTGGACACTAGTAATGAATGCAGTATTGAGTATGTCACAGGGTAGTTTTAAAATTAATATAAGAGCCTTCGTTTTTTTGGCCTGAAAAATTTCTCAAAGTCCTTCACTTTGCACCATTGAAAAGATCTGGTGTTTTACTAATGCACATTAATTGGAAAGTAATTTGTGCAACTTATAGTACATTAATTGGAAACTGTCACGTCGAAGATTCTTCATTTCTCGAGTTTGCTGTTTTTTTGTTGTTCCTCTAGTTTGCTCTCATACTTTGTCTCTATGTGGTTTTCTGTAACTATTTCGGTCAGTTTTCTGACAGTAGGGGATTGCCGTTCTAGGTTTCTCTATTCATGTGAATGATGATTTATTCTACTGATTTTTGTACTTTGATGAAATTGTAAGCATATATTTTAGTTTTTTTTTTATTTTTATTAATATTTTTATTTCACAAGCCCACAGCAAAATTGGCTGGGTATTTTGCACCAAAACCTAGACAGGTATACTGTTTGAAATGCTACGAATGTCCATGACCTATTTAAAAAATTCATAATTTTTATTGAAAGTTGACTTGTGTGGCTATAAATACATAATACATGCGATTTTTCATGAGCAGCTTCCTTTGTACTCGACTCTTGTTGAATGTGTGTTTACCTGAAACCTCAGACAAAAAAACACCTGTTTCTGTAAGTAATGATCGGGTGGAAAAAAAAGCCAAAGTAGCAGTAAACTGTTGAAAAATATGTAACATTCAACTCAGTGCATATGCACATATGTAGCTTAAAATTTATTCTCTATGAACGGACATAAAAAAAACAACTTAAGAAACAAAATAATTAATAGTTGTTAATTTAAATAGGGCAATAGGGATTGTCAAAAAATATAGAAAGAAGTTGAATCAAAATGCAAAGATTATATTTTTAATCCTACAACTAGGGATTCTAAAAAAAAAAAGGGGTAAACAAACCAGGCTGGAAATATTTACATTATTTTCTCAAGCTGGAAATCCCTATTTTTACTCGGTGTCTACAGTACTTATCAATTTTAATGGAGTCAAAATAGGGACTTATAGCTTGAGAAAATAATATGGATATTAATTTTTAATTATCTTGTATAATTTTAGACTTAGGTCTAAGTTTCACCCAAAGTGAAAAAGTTACACGACAATTAATATGTTTCTTCTAAACTTTACCTATATACATGGGGAAATCATTTAAACATATGACAGACAAATGTTCTATCAACCTTAGAAAGGAGAAATCATAAGTTTTTAATTTGTTACAAAACTCAAAAAAAAAATTATTTTGATACTAACTTCTTTACACAAACAAATAATCTAAAGGTACTCTCTCTATATATATATATATATGTGTGTGTGTGTGTGATATAAAAGCAGATATTTTTTTTAGAATAGGGGTGACAGGATATCTTTTATGGCGGCATGGCAACACAATGCAGTTCTCTATAAGTTGAAGTATCTAGTACATTTTCCTCTCTCTTAATTAAAGTATCTAAAAAATGTAAGCATTTATCTTGTTCTGTTGTTTTTAATTTAAACTGAACATGTGGTGAACAATGCTCTCTTTCACAGTGTTAATATGAACAATGTGACATATGATTTAATTATAATCATTAAAAATGTTTTAGAATTCAAAGTTGACTTTATGTAAAGGTTTGGGTTCATAGGTTTTAAACATTTATTTCTGGAAATTTATTTTAAAAGAAGGATAAATAGGTGGCAGCACCATTTATGTTAATTGGTCAGTTTTATGCATTATACAAAATTGGAAATGTATGTAAACATTAGAATAGTGTTTTTTTACTGTTGTGTCCTTCCTAATGAAGGTGGTCTGTGTACTAAAACATACAGAAGTTTTTATATAAGGCATTGTGCCTTCCATAAGGTTTTAAAGTATTTAAATTATATATTTTTTAATATTTCCTTGAGTTTTTTAATCCCCATGTGCATGAGTAGGGGTCAAAGTGTGCATGCCATGACCTTTTACAGAGTGTCATTTAACATGATATTATGAATTTGATGTCAGAAGTAACAACTGTTCATTTTACACTACATTAATGATGTAGTGACAGTTTATAGTAGAGGAGAGTAAATACCAGATACATAATACTGAAAAAACTGTAAATATACATTTTGGTGGTATTATAGGTTATACAAACTCAATTTGAAATCTGTATGATGAACAAAAGTATTTTTATTCTTCACATGAACATCATCTTGCACTCTGACATCAACGTAGACTAGTCTTGACTACAAATGCATTTGTAAGACATCTGATTTTTTTCTGCCAACAGACTTGTACAGTTTGCTATAAGCTTGACAGATTTCATGTAGATACACATAGTAAATTTGTAATTATAGTCAACATTCCATCTCCAGTATGGAGTTAATAAGTACTTTTTACACAAAGCTGGTTTCTAACTTGATGTTACTAGATTTGAATTGTTGAGTTATCTTCCTATTTTGTTACATATATTATAATAGTTTGATTGTAAGGGAATCAGACTTGAAGATAACTTCTGAGTAAATAATAGATGTAAT